GAGTATCAGAAAGATCCAGTCGTTGAAGATTGGGATATTCAATAATTCGTAATATTTGATCATCATTGTTTGATTTTATAAATTGTTTCTTATTTTGTGTTTTTCGATTATTTATTGTTAGTTCTCTCATAAATGGAAATGATTTCGAAATTCGAAGAAAAAATTCATATTCAAATGAATGTTCATCATATAATAATACTTCAGTAACACTCATAAATAATCTACCACGAAAATTATTTGTTATATTATTGTAAACTTCCCACTTATATGGATATGAATAAATATGACATTGACTATATGCTTTTTCTTGAAAGTGATCAATACAAGTAATTATTTCATTATTAGGAAAATATTGAAACGTTTTCTGAATATGTTCATTTAATGGAAAATTTGTTTGATTACGATGATATATGATTGAGCAAATATTAAAGGTGAACTTATATAATTGTGGCATATAAATAACAATATCTTTCTTCAATGTCTCACCATCAATCAACTTTTCGTAACATTGAACTATAATATTTAAATCAAGTTCTTCTAAATTTAACATTCGACGTAGAAGTGGCACAACTGATTTCTCAAAATCATATATCTTATCCTTGCACCACAAAGAAAAAATCCGTAAGTTTGGTAATGGCTTTTCCTAAAAATGAAAACAAATATAAGTTCATTTAAACAAACAAAATATTAATAAAAATAATCTACCTTATGCTCAATGTTCATATAACAAGTTGTATAAAAAATAACATATAATATACGAAGTTGATCAAAACGTCCATCAAGTATACAAAGACATTCTTTTATATCTGACACAGTGACATGTAATTCTAATAAAGTTGAAGAAATATCAGTCCCAGGCGTCATAAATAAACATAAAGTGCTAAGATAAGATGAAGATGGGTTGAATTTTAAACATCGTAAATTAGTAAATATAGTTGAAAATTTGTGCAAATATCATTGTATGGCAAACTCCCATGTTAATCCATTTGTTTTCATTTTTAAAATTGATAAAAAGTGATGTAATTTTATTTTTGTATACATGCGGGAAACGATTTTTATCTAAATAAAATTTTAAAGTTACTGATAAAAATATTTTTTTGATCTATTTTTATTCGATTAAGATATCTAAAATTTTCTATTTAACAATATTCTCACTTATGTGTGATAGATTCTTTTTTAAATACTCTCATTACATTCTATGTGATCAATAGTGTTCTATCTCAATCATTGACTTGTTTATATTATTTTCTTCTAGACGCTCTAAATTGTCTTTATTAATCTTGAAAAATTTCAGTCGAATATATTATTAATATCTTTTTTTTTGTTATACAAATGAACGATTAAATTCTTTTTCGAGTAATGGCGTTCCTACATATAAATAGAATTTTTTATTTATGCAAACAGAAGTGAAATGAAAAATGATTTACTATTAATATAAAATGTTTAATTATGAATACCTATTTCTTTTATGTATACATTGAAAATAAATCATCTTCTTTTCCAGTAACTAATGTATTCTACAATGAAATCAATCAAAGAAAATTTCTTACCACAAAACAGAGACATAGCTAGTTTGAATTGAATATCACATAAACCAAGGTTGATTAAATTAGGATAATTTGTAGCATGAAAAACAGGTTCTATCCATGTTCCTTTAAGATAAAGAGTTTCAATTTTATGTACAATTTCAGGTAAAATTTTTGAACAAAATCGATCAAGTATTGGATTTGATAATGGGAAGGTAGAATCGTCGACTGGAGAATATTCTCGTAAATATAAATCACGAGTAAAAGTTGTGTCTTGTACAATTTTACTGATTCTTTTATTAACATCCATTAAAGAATAAAGCACTTCATCATTGTACAATTTTTTAAATATATATATAAGAATTTCATTAGGTAAATCATTCAACTGAACCAATAAATCTTTCATGTTTATTTGTGTACATATTATCTATTTTTCTAAGAATATATATATATGTTCTATTCATTGATTTTAATTGACCATATCGTCAATGAAAACAATGGTAATTCTCTTCAATTATCGTTTTAGTCCGTGATCAGACGAAAAAAATGATGATTTTTTTAATTGGTGAAACTCAGAATGGTTGGATGAAACTTGTACCAAAAATCAAGCTGATTTTTCTGATTCTAAAAATGTAAGGCGCAGTATGGCCCTGCAAACCATTCTTGAGATATTTGCAAAATTAGCACCCTCTATAACACATTTCTGTCCATATCTCAAAAGTGGTTTTTCGAACCATACTGCGCCTTACATTTTCAGAATCAGAAAAAACCAGCTTGATTTTTGGTACAAGTTTCATCCAATCATTCTGAGTTTCATCGAACTCAAAATTATCACACACTTTATCATCAGATCACCTACTATTTTAGACGATGAGTGAAACTAATGAACAATGGCATGACTTTTTTCTTTCTCTTTCTTATTGTTACTATTATGATTATTGAATAGGCTTTAAAACCAGGATTGCCATCTGTACACCACATTTCGACGTTTTGTATCCCATAAGAATCTGTACCACTGGAGTACGCCTTTTTGTACCCCATTTGAGCTTTTTCTCACTGTACGTCCCTTATGAGCCACATTTTAACAGAAACTCCAGAAACTGCCTGTAGAGCCTTAAATTATCTTCTAGAAATATGAATCGTTCTAAATGAGTTACAAGTGTCAAATGATTGCTTCTATTTGGAGCTATCCTTTTTTTACTTCTTAATGACGTGCTGAAAGTGAAACTGAATTTTAGATCAAGCAATAAAATGGAATGATAAGGTTTTACTATAGTGACTCGAATAGAAATAATCAAATGGATGAGAAAGTAATAAAGATAGAGTTAGCTAATCCAGAGAGTACCAAATACAATGGATTGATTATTGATTCGACTCTTCAAAAATCGAAAATTCTCTGTTCACAGTTGGCCAAAGAGAAGCTTTTGGCAATATGGAGAAGCTAAACGCTTTTTTCGGAAATGTAAAGCTAAACGGAAACTTTCAACGAGAAAGTCATAAATGAATGGGAAAATTTTTCGCTTCACTACAGTTAAGAACTACACAGGCGTACTTCATGTATCAACAAACAAATTTGGAGGTTTTTCTTGAGAATGTTCATTTTTGTCAGCTTCAGTCATAACAATTTTCACCAGAGCCATAGCCTTTGGCAACAAAAGTGTATAACAATTTTTCTGAATTGAATGTAAGAAAAGTGTTCTTTTCGAATAAGTGACAGAGCAAAACAGAATAATCAAGAATTTGGTCAAAACATTTTACTTCGAGGAAATCTAACATTTATATTAGTGCAGTTGGACAGAAAGATATTTCTATTTTGTTTTTTCTTCATATTTGTTGTTTTCTTAGTCAAGGTCGTATTGACTTTCGAACAAATGTTACCAGTGTCGCTGTCTTCGACGGCAAAATTGTAAAGAAAAGTTTTGTGTTGAGCGCAAGTGTTTCCTTCTAAGCAGGTACACAACAGTATACACGTTTCCTGCAATTCACCAAGAGCGTTTGCATTTGAAAAGAAATGATCTGAGTGGTGAAGATTCTATTAATTATTCTTGAATTTCACCTCTTTGCATGAAAATTGACCAAAAATGACAAAATTCTGGTACGTATTTGGGCCAAAAGAAGATACTACTTCAGCTCTAATGTGAAAATCTTTCAATCTCGAACCATCTCTTGCGTAGCAACACTTAAGTCATCTAATCTCCACAATTAACGTTTTTTTTCATTGAACATGTTTGCTTTATTGAAGCGATTTTCTTCGGAAATCGCTTTATCTCTGCAGTTGTTCTTTGCGAGCAAAACAATATTTTAGATCATTTTTGCACGAGAAAAAGTCAATATAAAATCTATGACGAAACAATGAAATCTTATCAGTGATTATTTTACAGGTATACTTTGAATTTTGAGAAAACTTATGTACCCCATAGATGTACCCCATTTAGAAAAATCTTGTACCTCACATGTACCCCAGCAACCCTGTATAGAATACACATTTTCTCTATCTAATTGAATCAGTCAGTCAAAAAAAAATCAATATTTACGTAAATCAACATTTACATGTCTGGTAAGTGTTTATTTATACCTTTTTGAATTTTAAAATTTTTCATTGAGGTGAATTCTATCAATAAGAATCTTACGCGGTATATATTCGTTATTTTACTACACGTGTTCGTTTTCTTTTTACATAATTTACAAATAGTTTTTAATGTAGTAAAATATAGAAATTAGTCTTTAAAAAAAATAAGATAGACAGAAAAAATTTGCTAATATTTTATTGTATTATTTTAATGAATTAATTTTTTTTAATGAATTTTTATTTTTACAAAAGTCTTTTAAGCTTAGATCCTTGTAATTCACATAAAAATAATGACTAGGCCATTTCAAATTTTTTTTTTACTTAAAAATATAGACCATCAATAATCCAATGATGAATAAATAATGATTCGTTATATGATTGACACAATAACAAACAAGCATTATATCCGATGAGTATGATACCATATTGATCCTATCAGAGATTTAACATCGAATGATTAAATGAGACAAAATCTATGATATAAATTTGACAGATATATTTATTAATAGGTTTATTCTTCATTTTATTTTTTATTCAGAGAACGCTTTTTGTTTTATACGATTGAGTAAATCAATGAATACCAAATTTTGATTAATTTATATGTAGACTATTTAAACTATATGTATCGCAATTTAATCAATTGTATAAATCAATATTCCTATTTATTTGTAACGAAGTACGAATCATTTCAATTACTTCATCTTGTTTTTCAGAATAATGTACGAAAGTAAAAGTGTAATGCTATATTAGGAAAGTTTTGCATAAATATGTACATCTGACAAGCAAAGATTAGACGCTGTATTTTTGATATATTGTTACCAGAACAGTATATTTTTAAAAGAATAATACCATATTGGGAAAGCGCGCGAAATCCTCTATCATCCTACATATTTATATTTTAGTTTTCGCTTTTGAATGATCGACATAGATCAGACACTGGACAAATACAAGTACAAGTACTGGTACTTACAAAGAAGTACTTAGTACTTTTAGCTGGACTTGTACTTATTGTACTTGTACTTGTACTTTGTACTTAAGTACCTGTACTTTTCAAGTACTTTGTAAAGTACTTTGCCTATATACGGGGATTCAGAGTAATTTCAGACATTTTTTTACTACCTGTAGATATTTTTCGAGCACTAACAAGGACTTGTTGAATATGCATAAGCATTTTAAACTATATTTTGCATAGTTTTATGCATATTTTGGATATTTTAATGCGCTTTCTTTTATAATTTATTAATGCTTTTTGTTTAACAGTGCTGAAAAAACCATTGGAAAATATTTAAAAAAATTAAAATGCAAAAGTCTTCCTTGAGTATTCATAGCGACTTGATTGTATTGGAAAAAGTCATGAAGACACTCAGCAACTGTTTGACAGTTCTAAATAATAGTGAAAATTATTGAGAGCGTAAGCAAAAGTACTCAAAAAATGTCTAAAATTACTCTGAGTCCCCATATATAGGCAAAGTACTTTACAAAGTACTTGAAACGTACAGGTACTTAAGTACAAAGTACTTTGTTGTAAGTACCAATACTTGTACTTTGTACTTAAGTACCCGTACTTTTTTTAAGTACTGTACTAAGTAGCCAATGTCTGACATAGATGGAGTATAATGAGGACAACCTGATGTCCAGATTCCCAGAGACTTGATTTTGTTACTGTGATCAAAAAAGTTTTTAAAATTTTTTATAACCGTAAAATGATCGTTTTGAAAGAACAATTATATATTCTGATAGCGCTTGAAATTCTCTATCTTTCTGCATATTTGTTTACTCTCTTATATGTATTTATTATGAAATAATATAAGAACAGTGAAGTCTTCTCAATCGGCAATTTCGAAAAATCATGTGCACTTAGGTCTGTCCAAAAGTTCCCAGATTTAAAAAAAATATATAAAGATAAGGAGATATTTTTAATTTAATTTTATCAAATATTGAGGATAGTTGCCAGTATTAGTTATACCAAGTTCGATCCTTTCCCGACACAATTTGTTAAAAGTTTTTTTCAAGTCTTTTTCGAAAAAAAGTTTTAGGCACCTTGGAAACCGCATGAAGTAATCATGTTTCATTTATTTAATCAGTTAAACTACGTTCGATAGAATTAGTTAGCCAAAAATTACATAGTATCAGACCTGATGAATGTGATGGATATGAAATTGTATTGATGTCTTCTTCTCTAATATAATTAATAATATTGGATGAGTATGAAGTCAATGATGCTCGTCAATCAATTTTGTACATTTTGACGCTGATGTCTCTGTTTGTTTCCATATTCCATTAACAAAAGGTTTCGGACAATTTTCAGTATAATACTTGCGACCTACAGTCTTGTCTTCATCTACATTGTGTATAAAAACAGAACCATTTCATTTCAAGAACATACCAAACAAAGTTTTGTTAAAATTAGTCTTCATGAACAATAGTCTTTGACGATTCATCTTTAATCTTCCAGCTAGTATCATATGACTTATGACTGACCTATATAAAATAAATCTACATCCCACCACTAGTAATGCTAGAACGCAAGTGACATGATTGAACAAAATTTTGCTAAATTTTTAAAAGAAATGAAATATGATTGATTCATGCGGTTTCCAAGGTACCTAAAAATTTTTGAAGAAAAAGACTTAAAAAAGACTTTTAACAAATTGTGTCGAAAGGATCAAACTTAGTATAACTAATACTGGCAACCAGAGATGGGCAAGTCAGCTATTTTTTCACTCAAGTCAAGTCAAGTCATTTGTCAAAGAGAGTCAAGTCAAGTCAAGTCAAGTCATTGCTCAAAAAAAAATATCTTTAAGTCAAGTCAAGTCAAGTCATCAATTTGAGATACGCCATTGCTAGTCAAGTTAAGTCAAGTCCGTGTTCTAACCAAGTCAAGTCAAGTCAAGTCTCAAGTCATTGACTTCAATTTTTTTTTAAATTTCATAATTTAGTTATGTATTAATTTATTGAAAAAAAAATTAAATCAATTCAGTTGTAATACAAGTTGTAATTGATCTAATCAGTTTAACACAATAGGTCACGTATGTTGCACACTCAGCCGTATAATTGCTTATATACTTGCAAGTGTCGATGTCAGATAGTTTCCTTTGTGAGATCAAACAGACTAGACAAATAAACAATGAATCCTCAATTCATTGTTTATTCGTCTAGTCTGTTTAGGACCTTATTTTGTACGCACAGGTCAAATATAACCTGACGAGAATCTAATATGCATTGAAGTTGCAAAGAATATCTGACTTGACTTGTATTTTTTTGTCAAGTCACAAGTCAAGTCAAGTCAAAAACTGAAAAAACAAAGTCAAGTCACGTCAAGTCGCAAGTCATTAAAAAAACCTTTCAAGTCAAGTCAAAGTCAAGTCGCAAGTCATTAAAAAATTTTTCAAGTCAAGTCAAGCAAGTCAAAAATGACTTGACTTGACTTTGACTTAAGTCACTTTTGACTTGACTTGCCCATCTCTGCTGGCAACTATCCTCAATATTTGATAAAATTAAATTAAAAATATCTCCTTATCTTTATATATTTTTTTTTAAATCTGGGAACTTTTGGACAGACCTAAGTATGATGTATTTTTTTCTGACTATAAATACAAAGATAATCATTTTTTACAAAAGTAATTATACATTTTGATAGAGCTTCAAATTCTCTATCATCTCATGTATTTTCGTCTTGTCCTATGTCTATATGATGAATACTAAACTGGGTAATATTTAAATATACTCGTTGATCAATTCTAAATTGAATATAGGAGTACTTTTTGAAGACAGTTTCGTTAACCGAATACTTTTTCTTAAAACTGTTACTCGCTGTAGTTCTGGACAGAAGACCGATCTGATTTAGAATTCATCCGTTAAGTCACTTAAACACTCGGTACACACTAACTAAGCACATACTAGCCACAAGGATCGACGTATGTTACAATATAATCAGTATTTTATTGCATGAATGATCCGAGAGAAACAGGAGTTAGTGTCTCGTTCATGATCATTCTATGTATGCTGATGCTAAGATTGCAACACAATACCTTGTTAATACATGTCAAACACTCAGCCATATTGAAGAGTGAGAGATGTGTCACATATCCAAGAAATCGGAGATACAAGAGATAAGGAGTATATAAAAGGATACTCTGTTTGACTACTCTAATATTCAATGTGGAGAAATTTTATATCACGTTTGATCATAAGATCACAACAATCTTTTGTCATCCTGTGACAAATTTATCTTTTCCGATTATTAGTTTAACACTGTTTGACACAGAAGAACGCCAAAACCTCTGGAAATGTCTTTTCATGGCATTCATTCTCAGTAGATGACATGTCCTGTATGTATATTTGCGACACTCTCAATGATCTTAACATAAAAATCCACAAAAAAAACCATTCTTGTGTATATCATCGTAGTTTCTTCATGTGTTTATCGACTTCACTTATTGTATACATTTCGTTCGAATTATGATTAAAGAAAAATCTATTCATTAAAATTTTAATAAAATCAAAATAAAACAAAGTCTGATTAGTTTTTCATTTTAATAAATCAAAATAAATAAATCAATTGATATTTTTTTGTTTGAACAAATGTAATAAAATGTGTGTTTATAAATCTAAATTGTTTATTTTTCAATAAGATAAAGGTTATATAACAGATAACAAATAAATAACAAAAATCAAAACTAATTTATACAAGAGAAATAAAATAAGTTTAATCTAACATTTGACTAAGTTCAATGGCCAATGACATAATATAACGTAATTTATCTTTTTTATTTAAATAATCATTTTTAATATGTATTTCAACTGAATGTTGTTGTTGTTCTTCAAAATATCCTAATGTATATCTAAGATTATAAAAATCATCATTTTGTGTTAATGGTTTAGTTGAATCAAGTAATTTATCATGTTTAAATATCGATGAATGATTTATTTTATTTAATATTTGATAAGAATGAAATTCATAAAGTATATCAGGATAATAAAATGAATTTTGTTGATGAAATATTTAAAAAAAGATTTTTTTGGTGAACTATTTATTGATTGTATTTGACCATTTTTATTAAATGAATACATATTTCATTATTTGTATTTAGATTTAAACAAATAAGAATTATTTCACGTTAATGATCGATTAAATTCATTTTAAACCATGGAAATATTAAATAAATTTTATTTCAATTTAATTCAATATATTCACTTTTTATTTTATGATTTGATTTATAAAATATTTGTTGTAAACAATTGGAATTTATTTTTGTTATTTCAATTTGTTCAAGAATTGTTGTTGGAAAAAATGTATTAAATAATGATGGTAAAAAATATTCATTTATTAATGAATTTATTGTTTTCGAATATTGTTCATTATTTATAAATTGATTTTTATATTTTAATAAATAAATAAATATATCCGAATTATATTATTATTTCAGAAAATTCATTATTATTATTTATTGGATAATTTAAACAAGATATTTCATCAAAAAATATTGATGATAATGATGAAAAATTTTGTTTTCCTAATCAATTTAATTCAATACGAAGACGTATTAAATCTTTATGTTCAGAATAAAATGGTTTTGTTAATAAACATAATTGAATACATGATAAAGATGATATCATACCATTAATTAAACTATTTCTATCGGAATTTTATTATTTATTATCGACGAATTTTCATTCTAAAATTAAATAAATAATGAAAATATATTTGAAAATAATTCAAAATATGTTCATCAGCGAGGATTTTACATTGAAAGTTAATATAATTGAAATACTTGAAACAGTTGAGTTACTATAGAAGTGAATTTGCTCAGATCAAAGAATCCAATGGTTGGATTCCAGTAGGATCCTATCGGATGAGTTCGACCTGGGTGATATTAATATGAATTTTACATGAGTAAGTCTATCAATAGATCGATCTCATCTATGGAGTCTATGACGAATAATTAATGCGGGACGATGCACAGCATTTATGTAGTCCTTCGCGTACGCATTTAATCTTCATACTTTGCGTGTTTTTTGTTGTAACAAAATCTGTACTTTGTGTCGTGATGATCTAGAGAACTGCGAGCCGCTAAAAACTCATTAGAATGTGGTGATAAAATTTCATTATCGAACTGATACCATCTGTTTTCTGATCTTTAATATGAGGTTTTTTACAGAAAGTCACACAAAAAGACGATTTGGCCTCCATCCTTTACCTAAGATAATTAAAATGAAACTAGTATGAAAAGTTAGCCATCAATCTCTTCAAATAACTGATGTTCTTCATTACAGCTGTGAAGTCAGCCAGTGTTTTATCCAGGTTTTTTTCTCCGGAGGAGCGATTTGAAATTCCGAGGGGACAAAAAATTATTTTCAGAAGGGCCAGCCGTGTGTTCGTAGTGCGATGATCACAAGTCTCTAGGGGACGAACTCGATTTTCGGTGAGGGAGGGCTCTAGATAAAACACTGAAGTCAGCTGATAATAGATAATGAGTCACACAGATAATTAATTTGTTTTCTACGGTTTGAGAGCAGTTATCCTTCAGTCGATACCACAATAATCGGAAAATATCTGAAAATGTTCAATCCGTATTTTTCAATATAGAGTTTCGCATTGCATTTCGTAGTCGAGTGAAACTCGAATACCATCTAGTTGTAAAAGATATTCTTTGAATATAAGTTTTTTTCTGAATAATAATACATTTATTGAAATTGAATTTTGAATTGGTGATAATGGTGAACCAGGATGTAATTGCATTGATGTATCAACTAAATTAATTGAAACATTTTGTTGATCAATCGTATTTATTTGTTTTACTAAAGAACATTGAGTTGATTGTGTTTGTTGTTTATCATTAATATTTAATTGAGGAAAAATTTGATTAAGTTGATCAATTTGTCCATTAATATAATAAAGTGCATTATGATAAAGTTGTCCAATAATTGATTCAGATTTATATGAACGATTTTTATCTTTACCCAAAAAATCTGGATATTTTTTTCCATATTTTTCACGAATTTCTTGTATACGTTTTTTATCAACAATATAACCTGTTTTACCTGAATCAACTAAAACAAAAAAAAAATTTATTTTATTATTTAGAATAAAAATCAAACCAGATGATGAAAACATTTTAGCTAATTCAATAGCTAATGGTTGACATGTTCGCTGTTGAAAATTTTCATAATTTTTATCGAGAATAGTTGCATGTAAATTATATATTTCACCCGAACTAGTTGCACCTATTGTTGAAAGACAATATTTAATAACATGTTTAGGAGTAATTGGTGTTATTTGATTTTGTTTTTCATCCGGAATATAATCAAGTGGTTTAACTTGATAATTCAAACGTAATTCTTCACTCCAATAGACCTTTGTTTTTTTTGTATATTTAAATAAAATAAAACAATTTAATTTAAAATTAACTTACAAAATATCCATCACCAGCAAGATCAGATCCAGCTATTTTATTAAAATCAGGTCCTAAATTTTTTTTTCCATTTGAAAATATAAAAATAGAATAAATAAAAATATACGTTGACCTTTTGTTGAAAAAACAATAACATCATTTAAATGATATAATTCCGGTAAATCAACAGTCCATAATTCTAACATATCACCAGCAGATGGACTTAAAAAGAAAAAAAAAAATAATAATTTCTTAATCTTAAATTAAAATTTTTACCAAGGATTTTTTGTTACTATAACTCGTCCACGAACACATGTCATATTTTATATTTGAATATTGTTTTCCATTTTCGTTTAATATTGATAACGTATAAAACATTGTCCTTCTTCAAGTTAAGATTCCAATGCACAACCATATATATATATCGACATTCATTAATAGGTAATGAAATTTTATTTTTTAATATATCACTAAAAATTATTTATTATCAAAAATTATTATGTTTTATCTGATACATCAAGATCTGATAAAAGCCATATAAATTGATTATTAAGTCGACTTGGTGCTACAAATTAAAAAACAATTCAATTGGAATTTGTTTTTTTTTGTTTTCAATACTTGGTCGACTATAACCACAAATATCTAAAATCCAATGATTTTATTCAAATTTTTTCGTTGATGGACGAATTTTAATATAAAATTGATCAAATGTTGACTGAGAATCAATTATAATAAGGCCTTTATAACCAGCTAAACGAATTTAATAAGCTGATGGAATAATTAACTAAGAAATTAAATATTGATTAAATCAATAAAAACAAAAATTTTTTTTTTACATTTTCTTGTTGATAACAATGAAGTTTTTCTGCAATTAATTTAGCTAAACCTTTTGAAACTAAACCATTTTCATCTGTAAAACAATAATTATTTCTTTCAATATCATTAATCATCATAACACATTTATCATCTTGTTTACCACGATAATTAAATTCATTTTCATTAAAACAATAATTAAATTCAATCTTAAATAAAATATTTAAAAAAAAATCTTCTTTGATTAATTAAAACTTACATCTGTTGGATCAGTTTTAGTAAACCAAAAACCTAATCTCGCAACATATGTACCTAAGTTTTTATTTTTTGAAAATCTCCTAATAATTGTCGTTTATAATGAATATCATCAAGTGATAAAGATTTTAAAAACCAATATGAATTATCTTTTAATTGTGAATTTGATGAACCAAATAAATGATTAATTCAAAACAAATAATTATTAGATGCAGTACAATTTGAGAGTG